TATGTATGAGTTTGTTTTTGTTTTGTTTGTTCCTTTGTTTTATAGATTCCAAATATAAGTGAAATCATACGGTATTTGTCTTTTTTCTCACATATTTTAGTTAGCAAAATACTCTTTTTTTAAAAAAATATATTGATTTCAGAGAGAGGAAGGGGGAGGGAAAGAGAGAGAGAGAAACATCAATGATGAGAGAGTCATTGATTGGCTGCCTCCTGCGCGCCGCCAGCTGGGGATCGAGCCTGCAACCCAGGCATGTGCCCTCACCGGGAATTGAACTGCTATCTTCTGGATCCTAGGCCAAGGCTCAACCGCTGAGCCATGCCAGGCTGGGCAGAAAAATACTCTTTTTTTTAAGTTCACCCATGTTATCACCAATGGCAAGATTTCATTCTTTTTCAAAAAAATTATTCTTTATTGTTGAAAGTATTATAGATGTCCTCCCTTCCCCCCCATTGACCCCCTCCACCCCACACCTGCTGCCGCCTCAGGCCTTCACACTGTTGTCTCTGTCCATCAGTTATGCATATATGCATATAAATTCTTTGATTAATCTCTCCCTACCTACCTACTTCCCCACCCCTACCTTCCCTGTGAGATTCGTTAGTCTGTTACACGCTTCTATGTCTGGATCTATTTTTTATGGTTGAGCAATATTCCATTGTATATGTGTATCATATCTTCTTTATCCATCTATTGATGGATACTTAGGTTGCTCCCATATCTTGGCTTTTGTAAGCAATGCTGAAGTGAACATAGGGGTGCACATATCTTGTCAAATTAGAGTTTTGGATAATTGCTGAGAAGTGGAATTGCTCAGTCATATGGTAGTTCTATTCTAAAATTTTGAGGAACCTCCATATGTTTTCCATGGTGGCTACACCAATTTACAATCTTTATGCCTCTTTTTCTATGAAAAAAATAGCACTTTGAGGACAAGATTGTTTGTTTTTTAAAAAATTAAGGTATAATTGGCATAAAGTTGTTTCATTTGTCTTCATGGAGTCTAGCACTGTCCTTGGTTGATACACGTTCGGTGTGTACTTACTAAATGTTTTTTGAAGTAGCTAGGTTCTGTCAGAAAAACCTGAGGGCTGGCCTTAAAGATTGATCACTATTAATAATAGTTTCTTTGGGGGGAATTTATCTTCTTTTGGTGGATGTTAGAAAATACATTATGAATACAGGGTGGGGCAAAAGTAGGTTTACAGTTGTGCGTACCTAAAACAGTTTATTCTTGTATAATTATTTATTAATGTTTACCATTTTCCATATGAACCATTGTAAACCTATTTTTGCCCTTCCCTGTATAGATGACTTAAACGAACTTTTAAAATCCAACTCATATGTAAGTTGGGAGCTGCCCAACATACGGTTGAAATACATTTAGAGCTCTAAAGCTTGAAGGAATACTACTCAAATAATATTGCACAGAGGGAGTAAGGTGTTTCCCTCATTCTTCCCTGTGAGTCTACTGATAAGAACTAGGTGAAATTGTATGGATTCCTTAATTCCATTACCTGCTAAAGCTTCCCTGCAAGGGAATGGATGTTATGGGAAGATAAAAGCCTCTTTTGCTTTAATGTAGCTTAAAACACATTTGGCTAGTGGCCACTGTATTGGACAGCACATCTCTAAGTGTTTAGATTTCATTTTATGGTAATGGGGAACCACTGGCGGTATTTGAAAAGGAAAGAAAAGATTATTAGATTTAAATTTGACAAATTCCATTAGTAGCTGTGGATAGGTAGGAGAAATTGAAGCTGCAGAGACCAGCAGTAAGCTACATAGCAGTTAGAATGAAAGAGTATTTGTCTTAAACAATGGCAGATGATTGGATGAATATGTGAGCGCAAAATCAATAAAGTTGATTTTGTAATTAATTTATAATTGCTTATTTTATTACATTGGACCATGACTGATTTCATAGCAGACTCTATGTCTAATAATGATAGCCAACATGTTTTGAACATTTGCTAAATGTCAGGCTTTATATTATTTCATTTAGTGCTCTTAACAGCCCTATGAGATAGAAAGTACTATCTTCATTTTACAGATGAAAAACATCAGTGTGGTTTTACAGATAGTAAATGCAAAAGATTTGAAAGGAAAAGAATACAAAGTCATGTGGTAAGCGGGATCATGAAATATTTAAATATGTTTACATGTAGCATGGGAACATTGCTATTTTGTGGAGCTTCCTAATTTTGGCACACAGTAGGTTATAAAAATGTTATTTTTATTTATTATTTTTTAAAGTATATCTTTATTGATTTCAGAGAGAGGAAAAGAGAGGGAGAGAGAGAGAAACATCAATGATTAGAGTCATTGATCAGCTGCCTCCTGCATGCCCCCTGTTGGGGATAGAGCCCGCAACCGGGGCATGTGCCCTGACCGGGAATCCAATCTCAGTCTCCTGGATCCTAGGTCGATGCTCAACTGCTGAGCTATGCCCTGTGGGGCTAAAAATAATACTCTTATTGAGCATACACTATATGTTAGGCATTGTGTCCTAAGCCTTTGACACATATTAGGTTACTTAATTTTCACATTAGCACTGTAAAGAAAGATACTATCATTTTCATTTTTATAGAGGAAGAAACTGATGTGCAATCATAAGGTGACTTGTGTAAGAAAGTGACAGAGCAGTGATTAGGGTTCACATAATTTGGCCCCAGTGCTCCTGCAGTACTTAATACATTTGTGTGCTATATTAATAAATACTGTACAGATGTGGAGATAGATCATCCTGTGGTGTTTCAGTATACTAAACTCTCTTAACCATGGAAGTGACTAAGCTTGAAATTTAATTAATGTTGTTTCCGAGTGTGTGGAGATCTTTCTTTTTATGGCCTTTAGTAGTCAAGTATAGATCCTCAAAGGCTTTACTCAGGCTGTGTGGAATGTGGCTGATTTCTGTGTTAAGTTGTTTAAGGCCTTGAGTTTATTGATTCTTTCTGAACTCTTATCCTCTTCTTCCCCACTAAACTCCATTTTATTTCTCATGGTTCAAAGACAGTGTAGTGTAGTCGGAAGAACACAATTGGGTTCATATATCCTTGCATTTTAAACCCAGAACTATTGACTATTAACCGTGTGACCATGGAAAAGTTACATATCCTTAGAACTTCCCTTTTCTGACGTTTAAAATGGGGGAAATGAAACCTCAGGAGAGCTGTAAGAAATAAATTGTATATACTTTAATGCTTGCTATAGTACTTAGAATATAGTAGGTGCTCAAAAAACTGCTTTACTTCTTACTAAATGAAACATTTACAAATTTAAGTACCATTTCTGATAGTTGCTCAGCTTCCTAGGAGAGCTCTGTACTTGCCAAACACTTGGTAGCTTGACCTTTAGACTTAGAACCAGATACTGTAGAGTTCCTAAATAAACTATGAGGAAAAATGCATTAATTCTTTATGCCATTATAAGACTTTTGTTTCTAACTTTTACAGAGAGAGAATCCTCTGCTTTATTAAAAAGGATAAGGAAAACTCCAGGTACTTGTATTTCTGGAGCCGTATCCTAAATTGATGAATGAATGAATGAATGAGTGAATGACATGCTAGTTGGAATGAAAAAAGCAAGTAATGAAATCTTTGAGAAAATTGCTTATGAGATAGTTATTTTTTCTGAAATATTTCCATCTTATTTCTCAGTGATGATGTAGATAGTGGCAATTTACAGTCTGATTTTAGAACAGTATATTAATAGAAAAACAAACACACAAAAGGTCAGCAGTCTACATATTATGAGAACATTCTTTTAGGAATTCTGATTTGTAGAGTAATGCTTTTATTTTAGGGAAATAACTAATGATGAAGTAACTAAGACTCCTGAGTATCATGTTGAAATTGACTAAAGAAATGTTAAGGATTTGAAGGAAACAAACTTGAACATCATTTTTACTGATGCAGTTACAATTTATTTTTATTTCTAATTTATTTTTAGTATTTTTTATTTTTAATATATCTTTATTGATTTCAGAGAGAGGAAAGGAGATGGAGAGAGAGAGATGGAAACATCAATGATGAGAGTCATTGATTGGCTGCAGCCCGCAATCCGGGCATATGCCCTGACTGGAAATCGAACCCCGATCGTCTGGATCCTAGGTCAATACTCAGCTGCTGAGCCATGGCCGGCCAGGCTGCAGTTACAATTTAAAAAGACATTTCTGATGAATCATTTTTTTCAAGTCAGCTTTGAGATGTAACTTATAAAACACAAATGCACAGATTATAAGTCAAATTTGATGAGTTTTAATATAAGCACACATTAACTGCTACACTAATAAAAAACAGAATTTTTCTGTCACCTGGAAAGTTCCCTTTGTGCCCCTTTGTTGCACCTGGTCAGTGCTAGGCACTATTTTCGTCACTTGGTATCCATTAGGAAACAAAAACAGGTCACCCTTGGTGGGCCCTTAGATAGGCCCTACACTTTTGAAACCTACATTTTAGGGGAAATGACAGACAAATTAATAAATAAATTATAGAGTATGTTAGAAGGTGAGAAAGAACCATGAGGTGGGGCAACAGAATAGGATAAGGTAAAGGTGAGTAAGAAGGTTTGCATTTTAAGAAAAGGTGGTAAAATTAGGCTTCATTGAGAATGTGTCATTTGAAGAGTGACTTTAGGAAGATGAGGGAGTTAGCCATTCAGCTATTTGAGGGAAGTGTGTTCTGGGTAGAGAAAACTGCCATTACAAAGGCCTTAAGGTTGGAGCACGTCTAGTAACAGCCAGCAATCCAGTGTAGTGCAGAGGTAGGGAGAGCAAATTGTTTAGAATCTTATAGACTATTAAGATTGTAGCTCTTTGTGTGAGTGACATGAAAAGCCATTTGAAGGTTCACTATACTTAGAACATATGTCTTCCTGAATATCACTCGTAGATTTTATTTCTTCTTTAGATTTATCAATTTAAATTTATTTAATAGGAGTAAAAACTTTTTTCTTTTCTGACTGATATACTTAATACTCTAACGGTTTTCTTATTTCAGAAAGATCCAGATTACCTGAAACTATGGTTGGACAATTTTGTTGCTAGCTATGAACAATTCTTAGATGTTGACTTTGAAAAGCTGCCTACCAGGTATGTAGAAACACTTAATTTCTTACCCTTGGGTGAGTTTGTTAATTTTTGGCACAAAGACTTCATTGATGACATGTACAAGGATGGCAGTTGTGTGACATGCATGATACTCCTGTATAACCCTGCGCTCATCACAGACATTGCTAATTGATCACAGCAGTCTCTTTTGCTAGACTTGGCTTCTAGAAGGCTCTTTTCTTCTTTGGTCAGTCCCTGGCAACTGGGTGTCCTGCAGTTCACTTCAATTCTGAAACTACCTTGAGTTAGCTCCACATCCCACAACTTAAGGGCAAAGTCCTCCGTAAGACTGCCTGAACTTCAGACACTGTTTGCAAGTCGTGGAACCCACGCACACTTCTTACCAATCTGCTATAAATCTGGGGATTCTCACAACTCCCTCAGGTTCTGTGAGTTCAACAACTCACAGAACCCACTGAAAGCGCAATGTTTATGATTATGGTTTTATCATAAAAGGTATGTGTTGGACAGGGCCTGGAAGGGTCTTGGATGCAGGGTTTCCATGCTCTCTCCCTATAGAGTCAGGGCATGTTGCCCTCCCTGAACATCAGTGTGTCCAAATAAGGAAATTCTTTGAGCTTTGGGTGTCTAGAGTTTTATTGGGTCTTATTACCTCATTGACTGCATGATTGAACTCAGTCACCAGCTTCTTCCCCCTCCCAGAAAGTCAGGGGGAAGGGGGTCTTTCAGATGTGGCCAGCCTAGCCTTTCTCAAAACTGTCTAAGGGCCTACCATGAACCGCTTCATTTACATAAAATTTCTTTATTATATATACCACAGGCATTAAAGTTGAAACTTTTCTATTTCTGGTCTTAGAGTAGTACCTTAGAAAAACATCTTGGAGCCCGGCCAGGTGTGGCTCAGTGGTTGAACATTGACCTAGGATCCAGGAGATCGTGGTTCGATTCCCGGTCAGGGCACATGCCAAGTTTGTGGGCTCGATCCCCAGTAGGGGACATGCAGGAAGCAACCAATCAATGATTCTCTCATCATTGATGCTTCTGCGTCTCCCTCTCCGTCTCCCTCTCCGTCCCCCTTTCCCCTCCCTCTCTCTGAAATCAATAAAGATATAAAAAAAGAAAAACATCTTGGAGGATGTGAAATATTTATATTTTTAAAATCTAGATTTGAAAATATAAAATGGCAGGAAAATTCAAATATTATGGAAAAGTCCAAATGAAAGTACACATCTTTTCTCCCATTCATCTTCCTACCCCCATTTTCCAACTCTCACCATTCCCAGGCCCACTTCCCAGATGAAGTGGTATCTCAGGCCATCTTTTTTTTTTTTTCAAACACACTTGTCTTTATTGATCTCTGAGAGAAAGGGAGAGGGGAAGAGAGAGATAGAAACATCAATAATGAGAGAGTCATTGATCAGCTGCCTCCTGCAGGACCCTTGTTGGGGATCGAGCCTGCAACTCGGGCATGTCCCCCAACCGGAATCGAAATGTGATCTCCTATCATAGGTTGATGCTCAACCACGCTGGCTGGGCTCTCAAGCCATCTTGAAGACCCTAGTTATGAGTCAGGTAACAGGTTAGGTTGGCTGAGTTAAAAAGCTGGAGAAATGAGGAGACACTTTAGCTACAAAAGAAATTCCATTTATAGAGATGTGTTGAGAGAGGAGGGGAGAAATGAATAGTGTTTGATGATGAGAAAGACTATCTGGAGAATTAAAAATCTTCAAGGAAGAAGGTATGTGCAGTTTGGGGATGGAGGTGGGCAGGAAGAGGGAGACACAGACGAATGTGGAGAATCAAATGGGAACCATATCCTGAAGTGCCAGACATGCATCGTTAATGGACTTCGATGTTTTGTTATGGAAGATAGGAGTCTCCACTAAAGAATTTTCTGCATAGGAGCATCATGATCAAGTTTTTTTAAAGTTCCTTTGGTGGAATTTGGAGGTTGGATTGGAAAGGATTGAGACTGAAGGCAAGAAACCCAGTTAAGAGGTGACTAATAATTCAGAGAAAAAATTGGAAGAGCATTGGAGCAATGCATTGAACTTAAGAAGGGGTGTGGTTATGCTTCAAAAGCAATTGTGCTTCACTATCTATAAATACAGTTTCAGAGTTCTTCCTCATTAGATTATTTGTAATAGGTTTATAAAGGTTGAAAAGTATTAAATCTTTAGCTCAGAATAAGATGATATATTATTGATTCCTATTCATAAAAAGAGTATTCTTGTAGTTTGTGCTTAGAAGTGCTTTTAAAATAAGTTACATCTCACTTTAAATCTTGAGCCTAAGGATTTTACAGAGTTAAGATCTGGGCCTTTGAATGCTTGGGATTTTCTAAGGGGCACTTGTTACTATCCTTACATTATAAATGTCTCTTTTCTTGGGACATCATTTCTAAAAACATTATGTAAATTTATATCATCACTACTATATTGAGTAAGTGGAGTAATACCAAGAGCATTGCTTTATTCATGATTTTGTTGGCTTATTTAAAATTGTATTTCATATCTTTGTCAGAAAACAGAAAGATAAATTTAGATTTTACTAGTAGAAAACTTTCAGTGTTTTAAGTGAATGCTGTGTACAAGATGTATGAAAGCAGTCAACCTTAAAGATAAGAAACTCACAGATAATCATTGAAAGTAAATTGACTCTATAGAATTTACAAGTTAGAGGATTCATAACACAAGGCAAGGATTACTTTTACCAGAAATTAAAGCCTTGAGATTTAAGCTGGACTTCTTCCTGTGATAGATGGAAACAACAATTAGCAGCTCTTTAAAAGAGACATTCAATAGCTGAATAGAAGAGTGGAACAGATTTCTGCAACAGATTTGGGAAATTTTAGGAAAAGGAGCATAGAATTTTGGACAGTAAAGTCCTAGAGGTGGGAAAGTGCTTCTAAATTATTAAATCCTCCTCATGGCTAAACATTTCAACTTTGTTTATATATCGTGTTCTAAGTAAGTCCCAATTTTATAATGAGAGTTAGTTTAAAAATCAAACATAGATTTCTTTTTTAGAAACTATTTTTTTTCCATCTAGTAAAATAAAAAAGCATGTGTAAATAGAAAATGGAACAACTAAGGACAAATAAGTAACTAGGATTGAATATTAGGAAATGTGATGTTTTCTTTCTTGTTGACTTATGTTTTGGAAAAGTGAGGAGGAATAGTCAAGCTTAATCTTGAAAATCAGTTATATTTAAATCTTTGTTTATTATTTTGAAGTTACTCTGGTTTTTCTAATCACCTTGTTTTTAGCTATTTAGCAAGAAAAAAGTAGAGTTTCTCTGGTACCATCTATAAATAAGAGAGAATTAAAGAATCCACAGCTACAAGTGAAGTGATGCCCAGACTAAAATGAAACATGTATTTTTGTAACATGGTTATAGAATTTCACGGTCTTGGCAATGCGCCCTGTGATTTATTTTCTGTGTAATTTAATTAAAATCAGGTGTTCATTTTATAAAACACTTTACGTTGTAGTGTGGTTCAGAAAGAGGCTAATAATATTTTTAAAATATTTTTATGTGACTAGTAATGTGCTTTACATTTTTCTGGCCACAGTGAATGAATTAGCCTTTTACTCAGTGTAAAGTAGTAGTAATACTTAATATTAAGCATTATTGGAAGGGAGACAGTTATGAAGTATAATTTTTATTTAATAGGAGTTTTTTAGGGTGCTCCTTTGTGATTTGGACATTTTTCTTAATAGAGATGGGAAAATTAGTATATAGTGGCTTATGAAAAGATTCTTAGACTTTAGTGATAGTATATTTAAAATATATTACATCTTTAGAGTTCTTTACATAGTTCAAAGCTAAAAATACACATTGACTTTCTGGTTTCAGAGCCCTGTGAAATAAGGCAGATGATAATACAATTTTATAGATTAGGGAACTTTAGAGATTAAATGAAGTGCTTCATGTTACAGAGGTGGAACTTTGTACGCAGGTCTTTTGACTTTGAATCTAGGGAATTTTTATTATAAGATTCACACAGAGGAGCCAGTCACATCTAGTGTTGGCTTTTGCCCTTAAAGAACTGTATAGTCTTAAACAGGAACCAGTTGTCAAAAATACTGAAATATTACTTAAGAAAATCTTTTCTTGATGTTCATTCTTGGGATTCTACGTTCACCTCTCTATCTTTCTACTTTACTTTTGCTGGTTATCTTCTCTCCTTCATGTTATCACATGGCTTGGGAAGCCTATAGGTAGGTGAATATTGTTTATTTAGTAAACAGTTGATACGTATTAAGCTAGGTATAGGTACTACATTTCTGCAGGTTCTGTTTGCTAGTTCTTATTTCTTGTAGAAATGGTATACACACATATGTTGTATTTCTAAATAGGAAGTGAACTAATTTGTATTCTAAATATTTTCTTTAAAAATAGCACAGTTGAAAACATAAAAAGCCTTTCTCTTTCTCTCTTTTTTCAGTAAGCCTCTTCTAAAGTAAGACTAACCACTCCTCTCTAATAATCTCAAGTGTCACTAATCATCTGGTGGTGCCTTGCAGAGAAGGCGGCACAGAGTGTCTGGAATAAAAGAGCTTCTTTAGGTTTTGAGTGGAAAATGGAATTTCTCTAAAGCACAAAACATTTTCTTCCTGTATTTAAACACCCTTCTTATTTTGTTCCCCTTATATTGTAGGGTAGATGATGTGCCTCCAGGAATATCTCTGCTTCCTGACAATATTCTGCAGGTTCTGAGGATCCAGCTACTACACTGTGTTCAGAAAATGGCAGATGGGTTAGAGGAACAACAGCAAGCCTTATCAATTTTGCTTGTCAAATTCTTCATTATTCTTTGCAGGTATCTGGTGCAAATAAACTAGTTATTTGTTTTAAGTAAATATTACCAAAATGGTAATGCATTTATTGATTATTAATGGTATTTTTTTTATATGGAGCATTAAAGAATGAGTGCACCTTTTGCAATAGGCTTGTGGTTTGTTGTTATATTGGAAAGCCTTTTAGTCACTATACCTAGCTATAGAGAGATTCAGCCAAGGTGGAAAAAAAATTGCTCTAGAGTAAAGACAGTAACAGTGCAACAACCAAGAGTTTATTGCACTGGTATTTTCTGTGTGGTCCTGACCTATAGACATATATACATTTTTACTACTGTGCACTATCATTTTTGAAATGTATCTTTCTAATATTTCCTTTTATAAATGTACCAAGAAAGTATAATTCTATAGCTTGTATTTTCTAGGTTTATAGATAACTAGGTCTGTGGTACTTAAATTTTGGTATGCCTAAGTATCAAATGGGAAGCTTAATAGAAATACAAAGGTTGAGCCTTACTTACAGAAATTCTGATACAAAAGAGCTCAGGCATTTTTATTTTTCACCAATTCCAAGTTAATCTGCATATCAGAATTTGAGAACTGTTGAGTTGAGCCATCGCATACCTCTTAAAAATCTAGTTTTTAAAGAATAGTTTATTGACTTTTAGCAGATGCAGAAGGGAGCTGGAGAGAGAAACATCATTGTGAGAGGACAGCATCAATCAACTGCCTCCTGCACGCCCCCCATTAGGGATGGAGCCCACAACCCCAGGCATGTGCCCTTGACCAGAAATTAAACTGGCAACCTCATAGTGCATGGAATGATGCCCAACCAACCAAGCCACACTGGCCAGGGCAAAATATATTTTTTTAATCCTCACCCAAGGAGTGAGGATATTTTTTCCATTGATTTTAGAGAGAGTAGAAGGGAGGGAGATGGGGAGAGAGAAGAGAGAAAGAGAGAGACAGGGAGGAAGGGAGGAACATTGATGTGACAAAGACACATTGATTGTTTGCCTTCCACATGGGCCCTGACTGGGGGTGGAGATCGGATGTGCAACCCAATTATGTGCCCTTGACCAGGAATTAAACCCGAGACACTCTGGTACGTGGGCCGACACTTGAACCATTGAGTCAAACTGGCCAGGGCCAAAATCTGTTTTTTTGAGGGCATGTCCTGTTGTATATACTATTTGCTTTATAAATATTTTATAGTAATTAGTAGACAAATAGGGACTTAATTTACTTACTTACCTTTTACTTAATTGTTCATTGCCTTTGATTGCAGAAATCGTTAAAAGATTGAGCAAAAATTATTAAAAACGTTTCTTCCCTAATTTAGGCTCTCCCAGAACCTTAGGCATATTTTTGATTTTGTGTTATTTTCTTGTTTTTAAAATTTAGGAAAATATTACAAGAATTATAAGGGTTGAGGGAAAAGTGTTTACTCAGGTGGTAAGACATGAGCTGGCTGCTGTGATAGTTGATTGCTATATTTTCTGCTGTTAACTACCTAGTACAATTTTACTGAAATAAAAAATCCTATAGATAATTGTTTTAAATCCAGTATGTTTTGTTCTTGGTAATAGAGGGAAGAACTGGAATTTTCAACACATTTTTTGTTAGAATATTTTTTATAGTAGGAGAAATTTAATGTTCAATAGCTGCCAGTCACTGGCACTTGGCGATATTAAAAAAGTAGACTGGTTTTTCATCAGTTTTATTATTGTCTTTAAATTCACTACAGACACTATATTTACTACAGACATTGCTTTTAGTGTCTTACCCTTGGTATGACACTATTTTTTACTGAAATATAACATGCATAAGGTGGTCAGATCACAAATGTACAGCTAAATAAATTATAAATTGAATATACCACATCATCATGCTCAGGTCAAGAAATAGGACATTACTGGTACCCCAGAACAGAAAATTAATAGAGTGTATTATGCCAAGGAAAAGACTGGTGATGTTAGCTATAGGAAATGTTAATATTTTATGTGTCTTACCTCAATCTGTAAAACTGGAATAAAAACGAGGAACATATATTAATTTATACCAAACACTATTGACTCAGTTCTTTAAACAAGAAATGTACTATGCCCTCAAGTCCAAAAAGGTAACTATAATTTCAAAAAGTAAAGTGAAAACTATAAAACTGCACATGTGTTATAAGGGCAACAATATTTACAAAACCCAAACTAAGAATCTGCATAGGAAAAAAAATCCTGAAAAATAACCTAAAATGTAAATAGTTACTGTTTGGTTCATGAGAATATTCATGATTTTCTCTTTTGTTTCTACTTTGTAGTTTTTTCTAATTTTTCTGTAATAAATAAATGTTAATCAGCATGTACTTCTTAAACATTCTCTGTTTATAGTAGGTTAAATGGCATTTGAGATGTGTTCCACATTCTCAGTGAGAAAGCAGTTATGTAACTATTTATTTTAAGCTTTAACAAATGTATTTCATTTGTCAACATGTGTTTTCAGAATCCAACCTGAATACATGAGCATACATTTTTCTCGCTACTCATTTGTAATAAGTATATATATTCTTTTTCCCCCACAGAAATCTATCTAATGTGGAAGAAATTGGGACTTGCTCTTACATTAATCATGTCATCACTATGACAACACTTTATATCCAGCAAGTAGGTGTGAATTAATATATTCCTTTTTGTTGCTTTACTGAGAGTAACTAGGTTTTACTTTTTTCAGTAGTATAGTTAATAAAGTTAAATGTGTCTTCAGAGGACATAATAATTGATAAATTAATGAAGTTTGAGGTTATATTCATTCTGTCTGATTGACTGTATACTTTAGATTCAAATGGAACTTAGACTTACTTGAATAAAAATGATTTATTATTAGATGATGAATGAAGCATGTAGTCCTTTAACGAAGTAGGTAAGGATGTTATACGTTTAATATTTTTAACTAAATATAATCTTGTGATTTACTTTATTCTCAGTTAAAAAGCAAAAAAAAAGAGAAGGAATTGGCAGATCAGACACCTATTGAAGAATTTGTGATCCATGCATTGGCATTTTGTGAAAGTTTATATGATCCATATCGGAATTGGAGACATAGAATTTCAGGGTATGTCTTATAAGTCATAATTTACACTTTAACCTGAATGTCACATTATATGCAATTCTTCAAAGCAGGTCTTATTCTCTGTGAAAGCAATTGGTAAGATGTATATAAGATGACTCCCATTTCTGCCTCTGCAGTAGAGAACTATATTGGCGGTAATGAATTCATGATAAATGCCACGTCCAGATAATCAGTTTACTGTGAACTTTTATTTTGTGATGCAATTGAATGCTAATAATCAGGTAGGAAAATTTCAAAGCACAGTAGCATCAAGTAGAGAGTACATATTTTTCAAGGAAAGGTCTCTGTTTTTAAAGTATATTGCACAATTTGAAAATGATTTTTAACAATATTTTGTCCATTTTTATTAAGTGAAGCTTGTAGGGTCTAGGCAGGAAAACAGAAACCATACTAGTATTTAAAAAGAGAGACTGTAGGGTGGGCAAAAGTAAGTTTACAGTCGTAAGTGAAACACAGAGTTTATTCTTGTATTTTATTAATTATTGTATTGTTTTCCATCGGAACAACTGTAAACCTACTTCTGGTCCACCCAGTATAATACAAGGAAATTGTTTAGTAGGTATTAGAGAACTCAAAAAGCATAGGGGAACACCGATAATACAAACAGTGACTTCAGGAAGCAACTACTTCCCTGGGGCTGAGGGAACAAAGGAAAAGATTGGAGTTATTAGAAGCTGGAGGTTTGGAGAGCTCCTGCAGTGCTGGGGCTTGAACCTCTGAGGAAAGAGCATTGCTTAGCCAGTGGGGGTATTGCTGAGCAGCCATAAAGAGGCTAATTCTGAGATTGCCAAAAATAAGTCGGAGACAGGAACCAACTGTGAATGCTACAGTTAAGAACTGTTAGCTGGTAAAAAATAAGGAATAAGGAACGAATCCATTTATTGCTCTTTTAACCTTCTGGGCTCCATTTCGTGTACTCACTGTTGGTGAACCCAACAGTGGGGTGGCTTGGCAATGTAGCTGGCAAAAGTACATTCTGTTTGTGTTAGCTTTATGAAAGTCTGTGGAAGTAATTCAGCCATCAAAACTACTGGAATTGTCATTAAAAACAAAAATGATCCCAGCCCATTCTGGAACTATGTTAAGATGGAAGAAGCCAGTAGTGTGGACTGTTTGTATCCAAATAAAATTTCAGATAGTGGCACAGAGTAGCCTAATTTCTGATGCATTTCAGTGGCACTGTTGTAATAAACTACTATCTTAGGTATCACATTAGCAGTACTGCTGAACAAGTTCTTTTACAGATTGGAAATTTTAAATAGCTAGTTCCTTTTCCATTTCTAGTTCAGAGACTTAACCTGAACTAGACCATTAAGCATTTAAAAATTTTTTGCTTACTTCAAAAGAAGAAATCCTTTCATTGGTGAGCATTTAAGTTATTGGCTAGACTTCCTCTTTAAGATTATGTCTGTCAGCCTGGTCGGTGTGGTTCAGTGGTTGAACATTGACCCCATGCACCAGGAAGTTGCCGGTTCGATTTCTAGTCAGGGCACATGCCCAGGTTGCAGGCTCGATCCCTAGATCATGCAGGAGTCGGTGATTGGTGTTGATGTTTCTTTCTCATCGATGTTTCTCCCTCTCCCTCTCCCTCTCCCTCTCCCTCTCCCTCTCCC